TTTTGGCCGATAATGAGTAACAAACCGACCCCAGCAAAGACATTACACGCCCAAGATTATTCAACTCTCCGCGATGCCACTTGGGTCACTGTAAGTTAAGACAGAAGCTGTGCTGAAAGGAAGCGGAAGATCGATGGGAAGCGGAAACGGAACAAAGAGACAGAGGAACAATAGTAAAATCCCAATGTTGACGACCACCCGGGCCCTACAACTAAGTACTGCGTGAACATCAGCTAGATACTGTAGTGCGACCGATGAGGGATGTCGACTGAGAGTTGACCAGAAAGGGAGGTGGAATTTATATCGGTCGTTATATGGAAATGCACACAGGGGCAAGGCAAGCAATAACAGCGGGAACAGTGGACTTTGGTAACCTACCTATCAACCGTGGCACATTTCAGCTTACACTAAGCTAGCCCCTACCCTGTTGCCATGTTGGTCCAGCGTTGCGGAGCTGCACAGGCGGGCAAGCGGGGTCTTTTCACGATTTGCCCTGCCCCTCCACACACCAGACTCGGCGCACGGTGCAGCTGTCTCGACATTTTTTGGGACAAGACATTCACGTCGACCCACGTTGCCTCTGGAGAAAGAGTGTCAGCCTCCTCCGCCTTGTTTGGACCTCCACTCTGCTCGTAGCATTCCGAGACCTGCGGCACCTTGAGAATTTCTCCCCCTCCCCCGTTTCCCGTTTTGCGCCTAGCTACCCATCTCGACCAGTTCGCAAAGCGAAACCACAGACAAGATGTCGGACAAACTCACTCGGTGCGTTTACGTTCCCCACGCATGTGTGCGCTGCTTATAGAAGCACAACTGGCCTGTGCTGGCCTGGCCGTATGCGCCGTCTAGCTTCCACCTTGCTGACTGTTTCGTGTCTATAGTATCGCTATCGTCAGTAGCGACAAGTGCAAGCCCAAGAAGTGTCGCCAGGAATGCAAGAAGTCATGCCCCGTTGTGCGCTCCGGTAAACTCTGTGTAAGCTCTCTCTCTTGTTACCTATGAACAAGACCAGGCAACTAACTGCTCTCTACTAGATCGAGGTAATATACGATCCCCGTGTTTTGCGCGACAATATCCTCCTGACATCCGACTTCTAGGTGGCTCCCGAGTCGCGCATCGCCTTCATCTCCGAACAGCTGTGCATTGGTTGTGGTATCTGCCCCAAGCGCTGCCCCTTCGGCGCCATCACCATTATCAACCTGCCCACCAACCTCGAGAGCCAGATCACTCATCGCTATGCCGCCAACAGCTTCAAGCTTCACCGTCTTCCCATGCCCCGTCCCGGCAACGTTTTGGGTCTTGTTGGAACCAACGGTATCGGCAAGAGTACCGCGCTCAAGATTCTCTCTGGAAAGCTCAAGCCCAACCTGGGCAGATACGATAACCCCCCCGACTGGGAGGACGTCATCAAGTACTTCCGCGGTTCGGAGTTGCAGAGTAAGGATATTCGGAAAGTCTGAACAGGAGATCAGAGCATTGACTTTTTACAGACTACTTCACCAAGCTCCTCGAGGACGACCTGAAGGCTGTTGTCAAGCCCCAGTACGTCGACCAGATCCCCAAGGCCATCCGCACCCCTGATAAGAGCGTCAAGTTCCTTATTGAGGGCCGCCGTTCCCTCGATAACCTCGACGAGGTTCTCGACACCCTTGGTAGGTTCAACATGCTTTGCGCTTCGTGACATGTGACTAATAATCTCGAATAGAGTTGCGCCATATCTACGACCGTGATGTTACCCTCCTTTCCGGTGGTGAGCTTCAGCGTTTCGCCATCGGTACCGTCTGCGTTCAAAAGGCCGATGTCTACATGTTCGACGAGCCTTCCTCGTATCTCGATGTCAAGCAAAGATTGAGTGCCGCCCGCATCATTCGCTCCCTCCTCCGCCCCGACGACTACGTCATCGTTGTCGAGCACGATTTGTCCGTCCTCGACTACCTCTCCGATTACGTCTGCTGTCTCTACGGTCAGCCCGCCGTCTACGGTGTCGTCACCCTCCCTCACTCCGTCCGTGAAGGTATCAACATTTTCCTCGACGGTCACATTCCTACCGAGAACTTGCGTTTCCGTGACGAGAGCTTGACCTTCCGCATTGCCGAAGGCACTGAGGAGTTCATTCAGGAGAAGTCGCGCGCCTTCAAGTACCCTGCCATGGAGAAGACCATGGGCAACTTCCACCTGTCCATCGACGCCGGCTCTTTCTCCGACTCGGAGATTATCGTCATGATGGGTGAGAACGGTACCGGAAAGACCACCTTCTGCCGTCTCTTGGCCGGTGTTCTCAAACCTGATGGCACCAAGAGGGTTCCTGAGATGAAGATCTCCATGAAGCCCCAGACCATCACTCCCAAGTTCGAGGGTACCGTTCGCCAGCTGTTCTTCAAGAAGATCAAGGCTGCTTTCTTGTCTCCTCAGTTCCAGACTGATGTCGTTAAGCCCCTGAAGCTTGATGATTTCATTGACCAGGAAGTCAAGCATCTGTCCGGTGGTGAACTTCAAAGAGTTGCTATTGTTCTTGCTCTCGGTATCCCTGCTGATATCTACCTCATTGATGAGCCTTCTGCCTGTACGTGAACCTCTTTCCCACCCCATGGAAATGCATTGCTAACCTCCGTCTAGATCTCGACTCCGAGCAGCGTATCATTGCTTCCCGTGTCATCAAGCGTTTCATCATGCACGCCAAGAAGACCGCCTTCATCGTCGAGCACGATTTCATCATGGCCACCTACCTTGCCGACCGTGTCATTGTCTTCGATGGCAAGCCCGGTATCGACGCTCACGCCAACAAGCCCGAGTCTCTGCTCACCGGCTGCAACACCTTCTTGAAGAACCTTGATGTCACTTTCCGTCGTGATCCTACCAACTACCGCCCTCGTATCAACAAGTTGAACTCTCAGCTCGACCAGGAGCAGAAGCTCGGCGGCAACTACGTAAGTTTTCGTTCTATATCAATCTTGGGGTTACTCCCATACTGCGACTCCATGCTGACATCTTCTCTTTGCTATAGTTCTTCTTAGACGATCCCGAGAAGAGCAGTTAAAGAGGGCATCTCCAAAGATGTTCTTCACAAAAATAATAAAAATAGCGGCAGAGGCAATGATACCAAACGCCACCGCCGTTGTTATGATGATGCATCGGATTTCGGCGTTCTAGGCGTCCAAAAAGAAAACGGCAGTTCCTCCATTCATTGCGGCGCCAGGGATGGTAGCGGTAGCGGTAGCGGCGGCGGCGGTTCTGGTCCTGAATTCGACACTGCCTCTTCCTCTTCTGAGGATGGCGAGCCGGATGATTAACCCCGGCGGCGGCAGTCTGTCCCCTGTTGCCTGGTCCTACAAAAAGAAGAGATATATACCCCCCGTCACATGTTCTGTGAGAGAGAAGTTTGCGCTGTCTTTTTCTTGGGGTTTGACGAAAGCCTTGCTTGAGGGTTGATTACAACCATGAACGGGGGAAAACCACCCTACCTGGATGGAAACTTTTTGTAGATTGAGGGGCAACGGGTCAAGCAGGGCGACTGCTGCCGGGACTCTCAAAACCGAGCGAGCGTTTTGAGGGGGGCCAAAGCAAAAAGAATGGGAATGGGAAAAGGGGAAGAAGTCTGGGAGGGAAAGGCAATGGATCTAACTAGTTGATGTAAATGTGCGTGAATTTAAAGTGGGAACAAACATATGAACTTATTTTTTTCTACTGCATTCACTTCAGCTGTGGTATCACGCTTCTCTTGCTGCAGAGCAGGCATTCATTCTTCAGGACGAGAAACGCCTCGTCCCTTGCCGCGAGGGCAAAGGCGTGCGCCATGCCGTCCATACAATCTAATGCTGGTTTGTTTGTTAGCTTGATACTCCTTAACTGCTATTTTGGACGAGATCTATCCCGAGCTATATCCCAAACCTTGCAAAAAGGACGTATTGGAATGGTTAAGTACAGATGATCGAAAATGCATCATCCACAAGATTTAACACGACATCGATATTCAGCACCACCAGAATTGATGGGATATTCCAAGACAGATCAGACCAGATCAGACTTTAATTATGGATTGGCCCGGCCCGCATGAATCGAATCTGAAAACGAAACGCCTAGGAAAGTTGACCCAACCGAGGTTTCGAGCTAATAAACAAACAAATCAGTATTGGACTGTGTAAGTGTGTTCGGCCCTTCATCTGGACAAAGTTCGTCTATCTAAGTCGGCTTCAACTGGTGTTTCTTATCATTTTGCTACCTTGACTAGGGAGCTGGTAGAAGAGAAATAGGCGAGACGATTTTCTTTGCTCGATTTGTGAAGCTTATTTTTGCCATTGTTTACTATATGATCTTTCGTGACTGTGGTTTCTTTCCTTCTTTCTTTTTTGCTTTCTTGCTTTCTTTGTTTGTTTATTTGTTTGTTTTTTGACTCCCGTTCACCTTCCTTCCTGTAATTCTTATTTCAACTACTTCAGATGCACTACAAAATAAACAGTCTCACTTGAGCGTATAAAAATCATTTGACTCACCTGAAAGACAGAATGATACATTTGTCTTTGCCATTACGTGGTCGACGATTCAACAGTAGAGTAGAAAGCCAAACTCACCAGTAGATATCAACATATACAGATATTCTAAATCATTAAGCATCTATACGACACAACACATGGGATCGGAAGGATATAATCAACTCACCGATGATGGACGATGTCTGTCGACAACCGTCGTTTTAACACATTAACCATCCGATCGGTCGCCCGTTCTATCCAACTTTTTTGTTACGTGCATATTTTTCTACCTGGCCAAAGCCGAAACGAAGGCGGATGAAAAGAGAGACAGAAAAAAAAGGCAATTACAGAAAAAGGACTTTGCTATTGATGATTAGACATGGGAAGTGGTGGTGGTAAACACGTACGAGAGTACTTTCAGACTGCATATATAGCCATCCGGACTTCCCAACGCTTTCAGGCGGAGGTAAACATAACCCTTCCGTAACCCCGACAAATCCTGGCTTGGAGCCAGCTTTGGACGGAGTCAGGCACTTAGTCCTCCTCAATCTCGCCCTCTTCGCTACCCGCACGGACGACAGCGGGTGGCGGCGGCGTCTTCTCCTTCTCTTGCTGTTTTTGAGGCTGTGGCGACTTGACGCCATCACGAGCGGGGCTCGTCGCCTCACCCTTAACGGCGGGAGCGGTGGCGGGAGCGGCAGGAGCACCGGCGGCGGGAGTAGCGGTGGTGCTAGGCTCGGTCTTGACTCTCTTCGCCGGGGGCCTGCCGTCACGGCGGTCGTGGTCGTCCTCTTCGGGGCGCGTGCGGCGGGATGAGCTGGGTCTCTCGTCACCATATGGCAGCTCATCAACATCGCGATCCATTACTCGCCTGCGATAGATTCTCTCCCTGTCCTCGTCGCGACTGCGTCGTTCCCGGTCATAATGGTTGAGCTCGTCGTGGCGAGGGCGGCGGTCGTAATCACGGTCGCGGTCACGTTCACGGTCGCGGTCTCTGTCCCGGTGATCGCGGTCCCTCTCCCGGTCTCTGTCCCTGTCTCTCTCGCGATCACGGTCACGATCACGGTCTCTCTCCCGTTCACGATCACGGTCACGGTAGTCACGACGATCACGATCACGCTCGCGATCGCGATCCCTATCTCTGTCTCGAATAGAGTCATGGTGACCATCTACTGACCTGCGGTCCGAAAGCAGGCTCTCTGCCATGCTGGACTTGCGGAAATTGCGTTCCCGCTCGGCGATGGCCTTGCGGCGGTCTGCCTCGTACGGATCGTGTTCTGGACTGCGGCTGCGAGCGGAGCGTGCACTGCTGCGGTGAGAGCGCTCACCCCTGTCCCGATACGAGTCGCCGCGATCACGACGACGCAGTCGGTCTCTTTCGGCCTCTTCTTCCTTTTCCTTCAAGCGGCGAATATGCTTTTCGAAGGCACCGCGGCGAGCCTCGTCGGAAGTGACGGCCTTGAACTCGTCGCTCTGAGCAATGCGACCCTCTACCTGCTCGTAAGTATCATTGACTGTGATGGGAGGTTCCAACCTCTTGAGGTACGAACGAAGATCGTCCAAGGCACGACGCTGCTGGCGTTCAGAATGCTTGTCGTCATCTGCTGACCGTTTGGCCTTCTTTTCTTGAAGCTGTTTTTCGTTGGTTAGATATTCGTTCCCGCATTTGGTGAATGTAGGTCACTTACACGCTCGAAAATAAGCTCAAGAATATCGCGCTCAATGTTAGCGGTGCGGCGGTCATCTTTCACAATTGCTTCAAACTCTTGGAAAGTTGTCTTGGGAGTGACCTCAAACCGTTTATCCTGTCATCCTTGGTTAGCGGAGATCCGAAAGTAGCCTTTCGTTCAAGTGTACTCACATCAATGACATCCAGGATATCATTCCTGGTGGTTCTCAAGGCACGTTCTTCTTCCTCGACGACGTCCCAGAACAATTCCATGGGGGTAGAGCCGGGCTGGCCGGCCATAGCCAAGTACCTCTCATCGTGTTCGATAAGAGGGTAGATCTTGGACCACTTGGATCCTGCTTTGATCTTACCATCCTTTCTCAACTCGGCAAGAAGAGCGCAGAAATTGTCGCGGTTCTTGCGCTCCTTACGCAGCTTCTTGTTCTTCTCCTCTTGCCTCGAGTCGTTGAAGGTGCGTTCTAAAGCCTTGACGTGGTTTTGGAAGACGGTCAGGATATCATACTTGCTGAGGGACTTGTACTTCTCATCCTGCTGGAACTCTGCAGTGCTCTCAATAGTGCCTTGTGCCTCAGACCACCTAGTGTAGGGCTCAAGGTCAAGTTTGGGGAGAAGCTCAATCAAACCGTCCATAGCACTCTTGCGCAAGGCGATCTGCTGGTCCTTGTGTGTCTTCCTAAGCTCAACACGGTAGTCCTCAAACAGCTGGCGTCGCTCGTTGTCGTCATTGGTGGATCGGAAGATGGTCTCGCCCTCGATCATGGGCCGAGCAGTCTTCCAGCGAGTGTAGTGCTTGATTTCCGGGTGACTCCGTAGCATCGTGGCGAAATCGGCGCGCAGCTTGGTTAGTCTCTCCTTTGCACGCTCCTTGTCCTGAACAATGACATCATGGCAATACTTCTCGAAAGCGGCCCTGCGATCCTTTGGATCCTTGATGGCGCGGAACTGAGGATCCTTGACAACAGCTCGGAGGGTTTGTTCCCAAGTCCAGTCGGGCTGGACGCCACTGCGTTTCAGAAGTTTGACGAAGGCAGCCTCGGCCTCCTCTGGTGTCGCATATTCCGGATCGGCGGTCGCAGGAACGAAAGCTGGAGCTGCATTGTTGTTGCCAAACGTCAACTGGCGTGACTCCCCCAGTGGCTCTCGGTGATCACGGTGGTCGCGGTGGTCGCGGTGGTCACGGTCCCGATCCCGGTCCCGATCCCGATCGCGATAGTCACGATCACGGTCCCGATCACGGTCACGGTCACGATAGTCACGGTCGCGATCGCGGTCGGGGCGGTAATTATCACCTCCATATCCACCTTGATGGCCACCTCCGGGAGCCGAAAAAGGACCGGTAGGAGTACTGTTGAGAAAGATGTTAGTTACTGAATTGCCTGACCGAGTGAATCAAGGACTTACGCAGCGCTGGTCGGTGTCGTAGTTCCGACACCAAGAGCTTGCTTGTAGACTTCAGGCATCTCCCACGAGCTTTGCTTGGTTTCGGTATTGTACCAGTACTTTTTGCCGCCCTCGGCTGTATATTCTTTCCATGGCTGGTTGGCGAGCGCACGCTAGGAGACTGTTAGTTGTTTCCTGCGAAATGTTTCGGCGATGGACTGGGAGCGCCATTAACATACTTCGGCGGGAGTCATCAGGTCCTCCGGCTTGGTCCATTGCGTGACCCTCGTCAGGGAGTTGTAGTAGTACACGCGTCCATCAGGCGTACGGTGTTCTTGCCAGGTCAGGCCTGGCTGCGGGAACGGCCCGCCGGGCAGCGGATTCATCGTGACTGAGTATTACTGAGAAGAGATATTTCTTTCCGTATATGCTGTCGGGGGTCGGGCAGCGATGCGGTCGTGGGGTTGAAGAAACTGAAACTTTCAAGGCTGCGAATTGGAAGAGGACGGGGACCCCAAGAAAATGCGCGACAGGCGAAAGAATGACGGGAAAGTGCACGGGCCATCTCAGCTTCTGTGGGGCCGTGGATGGTCACTCCAGGGTCGCCCCCGGCACTCCAGGCTTTCCAGAAGGCGCCGGCCGGGCCCTTGCCGTTCGTTGTGGACTTGCGGTGTTACTCAACCTCACCAGTCGGTCTCGGTTACCTTAACACCGGCGCCCGATTCAGTCCACCTACGACCCCTGAATGCCTTCACTGTAGTACCTTCCACATCCGATCTATTTGGAGAAGACGATTTATGACGGGATATCTTTAGTACTCCGCGATTGGACCAGCAAACACGACGTTCAAACAAGTGGAAAGGAATTCATCATAACCGGCGTCCACCGTAACTGGCAGTCAGGTACTGGTCTCACATAAAGACCCAGGAGAAGCAGACGACTGAACAGACGACACTCACTCATACCTACATAACAGAATGGCTTATAACATGAATGACGACGACGACACCCACGATGATGGCCGAGCATTTCTGGAACAGTCCTATTTCAGTTACATCATCCCATCCGCTACCAATTTCAAGGCAGACACAACTTCACCACCAAGCTTGCTAGAAGGCATCAGCCAACGAGATGTGCTGTTTTTCGGTATGAGGTTGGCATCACGTACCCGCACTATCCTCTCACTTTACTCATGTCTTGATTGCAGATGAGACCGCTGATGTCTATCTTGTACTCCGTACCCCTCGCCAATATGAGGAGACACTGCGATCCTCGCTATCCCGTATAGTCGTTACATTAGAGGCGCAGATTGTAAACGGACATGGATCCGACCGGGAAGGTCCTCCGGCGGCAGAGATTATCTACACCGGACTCGTTCCAGACACAGCCGATGCCATCATCTTGAGTCCCGGGGAGGAGGAGCAGGAAAAGGAAAAGGCCGAAGAGGATGAGAACAGCATAGCGGATGATGGAAATTCCTACATTTACGCCATCTGGAAGATGCCCGTCTTCGTATCACGACCAAGGATGAGACTACAAGCACCCTCCATCGTCTTCGCAGCAACTGCCGGCTTGAAGCTTCTCGACCCCAGGAAATCCCGAGACATGGTCGACGACGGATACATGCAAAGTTGCGCACCAGCAGGCCTCAACCTTCTCGAGTCCTTCGCCGACGACCCAATGCTAGGCGGTATTCAACCCCGTCTTTCCGCCCTCCGAGTATCCAGAGTGGCTCCCGTTACACAAACGAAACAGCCACTACGTTTGTTCAGGGGCATGCAAAGCCTCAGGCTTCGAGTCTATCCCGTCGTCCACACGCGGGTACGCTTCGCGCGGCCCAACACAAGCCCACCAAGTCCAGCCCTGATCGCCCTTCTCGAGGTGGACTTCACCCCCTTCTTCGACTGCGAAGCCGCGCTGAACAAGATCGACCTAGCCGTGACCGACGGCATGGTCGACGACCTCAACAGCCAAGATCTCATGGCCCTCCCCCTGCACTGCGTCGCCCACGACCACCTCACCTTCCTCTACCGGCTCGCACCGCGCCAGCTCGACTACATCATCAGCAAGCAGCCCTCCCGAGAGCTCGTCATCACGGTCGAGGTGGCCGTCCTCGTCCAGCCCCAAGGCGCCGAGCCCTGCACGCCGAAACTGACCATGTCGTGGACCACGCCCTTGGACTTCACGCTGCCCGTCAACCCGGGCTTCGGCACGCCCATGACGAAGCCGATCGAGCGCCGACACAAGCCCAGCCAGCTTTCCATTTCCGGCGGCGTCGACTCGATGCCGCTCGTCTCGCCCTCGGTCACCCGCCCGGACGCGCTCCCCTCGCTCGAGGCCTCCATCACCCACACGCAGCGCAGCTTCGAGACGCCCGTGCCCGACTTTGGGATAACCGTGACCTTTGTCGGGCCCGACCGGCCCGTGTACGCCGGCGAGGAATTTGCTTGGACCGTGTTCGTTGTCAACCGCACTAAACCAGCCGATTCGACTTCCGGCACTTCCACTTCCACCTCCACCACCACCGCCCACGGCACCACCAACGGCCCCATCGTCACCACCCGCAGCAACAGCATCAGCATCACCAACGCCCTCAGCGGCATCCCCCCCACCATCCTCACCGAGACCCCCTCCACCACCACCACCTCTGGCTCTGGCTCTGGAAACTCCCCCGCCTCCCAGCGCAAACTAGCCCTCTACGCGCTCCCCAAGCGTCGCCGGAACGAAGTCCGCACGCACCGCGCCCTCTCCACCGCCGCGCCCTCCAACAAGCGCGACCCGCTCATCGCCGACGCCGTGCTGGACGACAACGTGGTGCACGCGATGCAGCGCAGCAGCGTGGTGGACAGCACCGAGGTGGTGTGCTTGTCGGCGGACGCGCGCGTGGGGCCCCTAGCGCCGAACGCGTGCGCTGTGGTTGAGTTGCGGTTTTTGGCGCTTAGGGAGGGCGTGTTAGGGATTGAGGCGGTGCGGATTGTGGATTTGGGAAGTCAGGAGCATGTGGATGTGAGGGAGTTGCCTGTTATTGTTGTTAGGGGTGCTGGGAGGAGGGAGGAGGAGGAGGAGGGGGATGATGATGCTAAGGGTGGTGAGGGTGAGGGGGAGGAGGTGTTTGAGGAGGTGTCTGTGGAGTAATATGATGTTTTTTTCATGGGCGATAGGTGGTTAGTATAATTTGAGCTGGTTATGGAGTTGTTGTTGATGTTATGACAGACGAAAAGCTAGTTGAAAGATTGGTAGACCGAATGGTCAAAGTAGATATTAATGATCATTTTGCGATGTTTTGTGATAGTATATGCCGCTGAGCAGTAGGTAACTTCGCAATACCTCTTAACATGAAAAAATCAGTTTGGATCATCCATCTTCTGCGTTATTACTGAACCGGTCATGATGAATAACTCACACAAGAGAATAACAACGCACGGCCACAAGTCAGTAACTTCACCGACTGTATCTAAAGAATTGAAGCAGTCAAAACCATATATTTGCTCTACAAAAATCCAACATGGGTATTCCCAAACTGTACTACCCTACTCAAATTCTTTTTTTACCATCCATCGCCCAATCTAATAAGTACTAACAAGCTCCATCTTAACCCCCCTCTTCCCCGTAGTCTCATCCTTCTGATCCGTCACCCTCACCTTAACCTTCTGGAACAACTCCACCTTAACCTCCCTGCTTCCCGACGTCGTCAGCGTGTACGTCTCAGCATCATACGTCGCCGCCGGCTCCGGCTCCGCCAGGTCACGCAGGCGGATCAAGCTCTCGATGCCGAACTTGGGCACGAGCACGACAAAGCCATTGCTGAAAATCTTCATGACGAAGCCGTCCTCCTCCGTCGCCTTGCCGCGCAGGGCCTGGCCGACGTAGTAAGCAATGCTGGCGCGGCCGGCCAGCTGGGCGTTGCGGTGGCGCACGTTGATGTTCTTGCACACGGCCTCGAGGCGGCCGCGGGAGCGGACAGCCGGGTGGACGGCCTCGTACTCGATGGCGGCGGCGAGCTGGCGATGGGCAACCAGATCGGCGTAGCGGCGGATGGGCGACGTGAAGTGCGTGTAGATCTCCGAGGCCAAGCCGTAGTGGCGGAACTCCGGGTAGGATTGGGTTCCGGAGCAAAAGTACTCGGCCGACATCATGCAGCGCGTGGCCATGATGCGGATGAGGGTGTTGAAGAAGGGCTCCTTGGGGTCGACGCACTGGTCGAGGCTGTCGGCGAGGGCGCGCGAGGACTCGACGCTCAGGTCGAGACCCTTCTTGACGCGCAGCTGGTTGGCGAGCTCGTCAAAGTTGGTCTTGGGCGGGGCCGCGTGGCGACGCAGGATGGCGGTTTGCGGGAAGGCCTCGTAGATCTTGGCGGCGACGCTGGTGTTGGCGAGAAGCATGAACTCTTCGACGAGAGACATGGTGGCAAGGTGCTCCTTGGTCTTGACGTCGATGGGATCCGAAGTCTCGGACTCCATGTGGATCTTGATCTCGGGGGAGGAGAGACTGAGGGCGCCGGCGTCCAACCTCTTCTGCTTCAGCTTCTTGGAAAGCTCAAGTAGTGTCCGGATGCTGTTTGTGAGCTCGTCTTGTTGCGAAGCATCGTCGATACGCAGCTGTGCTTGTTCGTAGCTGAAGGCCTCACGAGACTTGATGACCGACTTGGTGAACCTCGAGCCGACAATGTCGGCGTTGGAGTTCATCTCCCAGATAACAGAGAAAGCATAACGCTCGACGTAAGGCTTGAGCGAACATAGATCAGTACCCAACAGCATGGGCAACATGTCAATACGCTTATCAACCAGATAGACCGTTGTGCCACGGATGCTCGCTTCGGTATCCATAGCATTGTTGGGCTTCACGAAGTGAGACACATCAGCAATGTGCACACCAACCTCAAAGTTGCCGTTGGGAAGAGCGCGAGCGTGGAGCGCATCGTCAATATCCTGGCAGCCGATAGGATCGATACTGCAGATAAGAAGGTCCCGAAGGTCTTGTCTGTCTCTCCATCCCGGGTCGTCCATACTTGCGGGCACCTTCCAGTCGTGACCCTCCTTGGGGAGACAGTCAAGGACAGTCTTGGGGAAGGGCCTATACTGCACATCGTACTCAAGCAACAAAGCCTCGGTCTCGGCAGCCTTCGTCTCGAGCTCACCAAGGGACCGGACAAAGTGACCGGTCGGGTGGCGAGATGTCCTGTCCCAAGCATCGATTGTGACGAGAATCCTCTTTCCTAGGAGCTCGGCGACCTGCCTGGTGCGCAGGCGGATCTTGGGAATCTTCTTGTCCATCGGGATAACAAAGACGCTGTCTTGCTTCCGTCCTTGGGCTGCCGATGAGCTGACTGAAGACTGGTCGATATGGCCAACATATTGACGCCAGTTCCGCTTGATTATACCAACAACCTTTGCGGTTGGCAGAGCATGGCCTTCGGTGGTCTTGGCTAACGTCCTCTTGGCCTCTTCCTGTAGTGCTTTGCGTTCCTTTTCTGAGATCAGGTCAGATCCCTCTTCCGTTGGGTTCTCGTTCTTTGTGACAGCCTCCTCCTCAATGACCTGGGTTGAGGGCTCCTTCCACTGGTCCTTTGGCAGAACCTCGACCACAACCAAGTCACCATCAACGGCACGGTTGATGTTTTCTCTGCCCAGTATTAGTAGCGCCTTGGGGAACGCAGGAACTCTGGTGGAGCCTTCCAGGTAGTTGTAAGGCGAGACGTTGAAGATGCCCTGGTGAAGCAACCCATTCTTGACGCCCGTGTTCATCTTGGACAGCGTATAGTATTCGGGGTAAAGGAACTGTCCGGGTTTCTTCTCGATAAGAGCATCGCGCTCCTCCAGTTCTGGAATCATGTCCAGAAGCTGCTCGCCATCCTTGAGCTGTCTGACATAGTCGGCCAACGAGTAGGCCGGGATGTCGTCCTCCTTGGCCTTCCGCAGGTTGTCCCGATCATTACTCAGCATAACCACGGCGGGTGCCTTCTTGGATGTCTTGGAAAGATGTTCGTTGTACCATTTGACGGCTTTGCGCACGGCGCGGTCGTTGCGGTCGTTGACGGACTCGCCCTCTTCGCGGGTGACGTAGGTCTCGAGGCGGAACTCGTTAAAGAAGACGTAGAATCGCTTGTCTTCGCTCTTGGTCAAGCTGACGAGTCGGTTGTACAGCGGCAGCGAGCGGGCTCGGACTTCTTCGAGAACCACTTGTAGGACGATGACATCGTAGAAGGCGGAGCTCTGCTCGAAGAGGTCCATGGCGCTGAGGAAGGCATTGGTGTCGGGGACGATGTAATGGCCTTGTGTGAAAACGCTGGTGCCGGCGGGCTTCTCTGAGAGTACGAAGGGAATCGGCCGGTTGGCGGCATCTTTGGGCGCGATCTTGAGGCAGGCATTGCAGAGCCTGGACGAGCAGGGGATATCTTGACGCAGGTAGACCTCGCGCACAATCTTCTGCACCTTGCCACTCTTTGTCGAGCGCACGTAGACCTTGCTCGAAATGTTCTGGGCGAGCGGGTCGGACTCGAAGGATCGCTTTAAGCTCGCCATCGTTGCCGTCGGGGTTGAAGGCGGCCGGGTGGTTCTGCAAGCGGGCGATGTTTGTTGATTTGGGGATGGAATTTTTGGTGATGGCTGCCACTGCCGCATGGACGATTGAGGTCGTTTATTGAAGGACTTAGGTAATGGTGGGGGCGCTTGTCCAGCTAATCAGCGGCTGGTCCGCGCTTGACTTATAGCGCCTTCGTAGCCGCTCCACTACCTATCCAAGTTACACACCAAGACGTCCGCATTACATACCAAAAATACAGGCGACACGTGCACTCCCCGACAAGTGACAACGGACACTCCCGTTCGTCACTCTCGTCGCCATCCCATTACCGTCAATCATTTCATCTCCGTGGCCGGCCACCGGCCCACTCACACACACCTCACCTCCATATACTACAGCGTACATACCGCACGTACATAGCGGCCCCCAGCAAGCACGCACCCGTGAGTGTCAGCGAAACGTGGAAACATGGGGGATGGGCCCCCAAAACCTAGGAATGGCTTATACCGCTAGAGACATATGTTGCACATAATTTATTGGGTCTTTTGTGTGGATGTGGTAAACTCATTCTCTTGGCTTTATCAGATCTGATCTCATCTGATCTGGCTGTAATCCGTTATGCTTGATATCGGGCAACCCATCAACGATAGGATGAGGAAAGTTTGATCCCAGCCTTGAACTGTGCATTCGTGGACCTACTTACTAACCACCTATGTTAAAGAAGTCTTCTCAGGTTCAGTGATCATATGTAGTGGGAGAGGATTTAAGTTGACTTCCTCTTGCCATTCCGCCCTTCTGTCCACCGGTTGTCTCCTCGGTCTTAAATGATAATATTCTGGTCGCATCATAGTGTCCAATATCAAGGAGCAGCATACCATCAGTCTCATAGAGCCGTTATCGAGCTCCTCATCCGTCCATCCACAAGACCTGCTGAGCCGGTCATGCATGCCCCCATCATGTTACACATCTTATATGCAGTAGAACTCCGAACAACTGCCAATATCATCTGCACGAGCTCCCGCTTCCCGGAACTCGCTCGCTTCCAGGAAGACTTGAGACATGGGCTTGGGGCATTTTGAGATGCCAGGATGTGATGAGGATGTTGGTGGGCGTGGTACGTAGTAGAGATTTAGAGCTATGTGCACCACAACGTGCTACACTTGTCTCGTCTATTACTGTGTAGGCATGTGCGGCAAGCAGGGAGGGGTTGTTAGATGGAGGGGGGGACGGAAGGGGGTCGCTAGGTCGGTCAAGTCGGGTGTAACCCATTTCCAACATCCTTTTGAGACCGAACCACACTGGTGGACTGGCAGGTAGTCTGTGCTTCGTGGTACCGCAGGCTTCACGATATCCCTCTGATTCTTGCATTCCACACATGGGAAGAGTAATGGGAGGCTTGTCTGGTCTGAGACATCTCGATGCAAGAGGCGTAAGCTTCCAAGATTTTCTTGGCTTGTCGATTCGTTCGTCGTTTTTTTCGGTTTGGGAGACTGCTAGTTAGTATTCGTTATTATAGCATTCGCTCTGTAGAGTATAGCCAAGGTCCCTCTGATTTGGCCAGGACGGTCGGAGAAAAAGATACAGTAGGGGAAACGATGTTCTTGCCCGCCAAG